TTAAAAGCCCACATGAGTGGTTTCAGGAAGAATATACAGGATACACCACACTGTTGCCTTTTAAAAAAAAATGTATCTTTTCCAAGAAGAATCAGAGCCAGCTTCTATCAAAATCAAAACCCAGAGTGTCCAGCTGTGTAAAGAGCACTCCATAAGGAGTCAAAGACCTGGGTTCAAATTCAGAGTCTGGATCTTGAGTGACTAGGTCTCAGACGTCAGCTCTGTCATGGCCCATTTACCAAGGCCATGGCTTTGCCTCATCAGGCCCTTCTCTGTCCTCTGACCACTTGTCTGAGGTGAAATGAATCAATTAACTTACTCATTTTAGTCAGGGGTAGATCTTGAATTAATGGTCATGCCTGTGTTAGAATGTGATTTTCTTCAATGTTAGGTTTTATTTCTTTATACCAGAGGCCTCCTAGTGGCAGAAAGACAGCAAACCAGAGATTGGATCTTCAGCAATTTTTCTTCTAGAATACGTATGGGTGAATTGGATTGTCCCCCAAGCTTGTATGACTTTTCTGCTAGAAATTGATTAGCATCCCAGTGTCTCCACTCCTCACACATTAACGTGGGATTAGACATGGTTCGGTTATAGATATATTGAAAATGGCATTAAGCCAGGAGTAGCCCAAATTCTCTCTTGGCTATCAACTCCCTGACGAGGCAATTCTTTTTCTTCTTTGTTTTTTTTCATACATAGCCATGGTTTCTTTCCTGGCCACCATGCCTAATCTGAAATTATATATAATGGGGGCACCTGGGTGGCTAAGTTGGTTAAGTGACTGCCTTCAGCTCAAGTCATGATCCTGGAGTCCTGAGATCAAGTCCCGCATGGGGCTCCCTCCCCCTTCTCATACTCTCTCTCTCTCTAATGAATAAATAAATCTTAAAAGAAAGAAATTATGTATAATGTACTCACTGCTAAACTTTAAGTCTTCACTTACCACCTTCTTTTGATCCAACAGCCTTGTTTGACCCTGAGTATTGCTTAGGAAACAATCATGGTGCAGTGAAGAAAGGAAAGATGGGGCTTCCTGGATTCAGAGGAGACTTTGCGTTAAACAGAAGAGACGGAGAATAAACATCCGGGTTTTGATGGATGCTTCTCACCTTCATTTTGGTCTGTGAAGAGGGAGAAAAGGGAGAGGCATAGACTCCAGCAGGAGATCTAAACACAGGTGTCGAAGTCAGGAACACACAGTTCTGGGTTCGGTTTAGCTGCTAAATTGGCCCTTGGTCTTGAGGAAGTTACAGTATAAATGGGAGAGCTGATCATCCTGTTGTTTTCTCCTCAGGGTTAAAAAAAAAAAAAAAAAAAGGCCACATCGTTACGGTTTTGGAATGAGACCGAGAACAGGACTATCAGTAGTCTATCAGGCCAGTATCTGGAAATGTTCTGCTGTAACTAGTTAGCCGGAACTATACGAGGTAAACTTCTCAAGGATTCACCAAACCCAGCAGCTATGTAGGTGAAAAGTGGCACCACTCTGCCAGGGATTAACTTTTTCCTCATTCCTGTTCCTACACTTACTTATATACACTTAAATATACACTTAAATATAACACCCTGAAGTCTTAATAGCCATTCAGTTGCACTCACCAGGCCTGGGTAATGTCAGAACAACCCGATGTCAAGCCTTCCAATGTGGTCAGTCAATCTAAGCCATCAGTTTTGAATCATTTCCTTCCCTAGACAAATTCTGTAGAATTTCTCTTCTGCCATCTTAGAATTCATTAAGTAACAAAAAAAAATCCAACATGTTCAAACCTACAATAATGACCTACCCTTTTAAGATGAATTTCAGGGTACATGCGTTTGTCAAGGAGCATGCAAAGACCAGGACAGGACCCTTTTTGAGGTCCTAACAAAGGACAATGGACCTAAATCCAACTGCCTTTCTTCTTTTATAGTAAAGAGAAAAGGGTTTTGTTTTTGTTTTTGTTTTGATATTGATTTTGGTCTAGATGTTTTCCAGAGTGTCTTGGCTTAAATGTTGATGTATAATAAAGGTAAATAGAAATATGAAGTATAGCATAATGACTTGCTGCCACCAAGGCAGTACTGATCTGAATTTGATTTAGCCATAGAAATACGTTCTATGGGGGCGGGGGGTGGCTCAGTCAGTTAAGTGTCAGACTCCTGATTTTGGCACAGATCATCATCTCAGGGTCATGAGATCAAGCCCTGCATTGGGCTCTACACTCGGCAGGGAGTCTGCTTGAGATTCTGTCCCTTTCCCTCTGCCCTTTTTCTCGTGCTCTCTCTCTCTCTCTCAGATAGATAAATAAAATCTTAAAAAAAAGAAAAGAGAAGAAAAGAAAAGAAAAGAAAAGAAAAGAAAAGAAAAGAAAAGAAAAGAAAAGAAAAGAAATACCTCCTATGGGGAGGAAGGCCTGTTACAGTTTAGAACAGGCAGATTCTGGGCTCAGCTACTACTGGTCTCTTCTCTTGGATAAATAGGTTATTTAGTCCATCTAAAACTCAATTTGCTCATCTGTAAAATGGAAATAATAATACCTTCCCATAGTGTTACTCTAAAGACTAAATGAGATAATATATGTAAAGTACTGACCACAGTGCCAAGCACATAGTCCCTGCTCAATAAATAGAAGTGATCAAAGCTATTATTTTAGTGAGACTTCTTTTCTACTCTTAGAATTCTCTCAGTAACAAATAATCCAACACATTCGAACCTACAAGAAAAAGGTCTGCCTTTTTAAGATGGATTGCTATATAAAAACTACAGTGAGATTTCTTTTTAAATAGGATTTTCAATACGCAATCTGTTATGTTTTCCAGGCTTTCTTTCAAAAGAGAAAACAGATTCTGACCAAGTTTTTCATATAAATAAACTTGTGAAAATGTATCCCGACTTTGATACTCTATAAAATTCAACCAGTGTGCGATATAAAAGAGCACAAAATGGCAGCCCTCAAAAGTTTTCCAATGGAAATAATCTTTGGTACTTTAACACATTAAATTAATGAAAACTGAACACTGGGGATGTTGTAGAAATACACATCTTTCTCTCAACTCAGGAAATCTGAGGCTGAAGCCCCCCAAAGCAAGATTCTGTGTGTCTATTTTCTTACCTCTAATCAAGTCCGATTCTACACCATGCCCTCCTTCTCTCTTTCCTTTTTCCTTCCCCACCTCTGAGTCTATCATGACAAGCTGGCTTAGTGGGGACATATATATTTGGGTTCTATAGGGAAGGCATGTCAATAACATCTCCAAATCCTTATTAAATAGCATCAGCTTCTAAGTGGTATAGCGCTTCCTGATTTATGTAAGTCCTAGCTAATAACAATTAATGACCTAATATTTTATGCATTGATAATAATTAATGGATATTAATTATTAATAAATTATATAATATATTATATATTATATATAATAAAATATATAAATAATAAAATAAAATTAATAAAAATATTAATGGATAAAATAATAATTAATGGATAAAAATAATTAATTAATAATAATTAATGGATAAAATACAAAGCATACGAGTCTGCAAAAACATTTATGACCTTCTCATTCTTTACATTGTTGACTGCTGTGAGACTAGGGCTTGACATCTGACTACAAACACATGAAGAGATTGTTCCCACGAAAATAGACTTCAGACTTTAGAATAGCTATAGAAACCATAGATACCATTTTATTTGGATAAGTTTTCAGAAACCAAATAATGCTATTTTTGTTATTAAAATTTAATTAATAAAATTAAAATTTATTATTAAAATTAAAATCCTTCCAGGGCAAAATTAAAACAATGGGTGTAGCAAGCGCACCGTTTCTTTGGTCTACAGGGTATTTACTGTTGAGGCAAAGGCACAGTAGCAGGGGAACCCTCCTGACTCTTACTCAATCGTGCCATCTGATGGTGACCCAGGAGTATGGCTTTTACCACACTAGGAAGCTTGGCTCCTTGGCACTGAAGTGGCTGGAATTATAGTTAATGCTCAGGCATAAAGAGGCTTATTTTCTCGTTTGTGGATTTTGTAGGTTTTTAGTGCCTCTTCGTTCACCCAGTGTCTGCCGATTGCCTAAAAGTCTAATCTTAGCGTTCGTACCAGAGGTTCAGTAACAAGGATAAAAGGAATAAAAAATTAATCTCACATTGTTTCTATTATTTGATGATTCAAAAAATAGGAAGTTTCCTCAAGAACTCCAAATCATATACGTAGATACACTCCCACCCCTATCCGAGAGGTGGAATTTATCCCTTCCCTCACTCCTTTGAGGGCAGGCTAGACTCAGTGACTCGAATAGAATATGGAATGGGAAAAAAACAGTAATTTGCAGTGGGAGAGGGATGGCCTACATCACTTTATTCAGGTGACCAAGGTGAACATCACCAGTGACGAGTGGATACCAGATACCCCTGATATGATGTGAGGAAAGGGTACTTCACCTCTGTGTAGTCTTCCCCCAAACACATAACCCCAGTCTAATCACCACAGACCAACTCAGATTGGGGAAAATTCTACAAAATAGCTGATTAATGCTCCTCAAAACTGCCAAGGTTATAAAAAAAAAAAAATGAGGAAGACTGAGCAATTGTCAAAGACCAGAGAAGATGAAGGAGACACATGACTAAGTCAATATGGTCTCCTGGAAGGGATCCTGAACAGAAAAGGTACATTAGCAGAAATCTGAATAAATCTGGGGTTTAGTTAATGCTGAGGTGCCAATGTTGATTTCTTAGTTTGACAAATGTACCACAGTACGTAAGATGAACACATTAGCAGAAACCTGATATTGGATGAAGGGTGTAGGGGAATACTCTGAACTCTCTTTGCAAATTTTCTGTAAAATTCCAAGTATTCCAAAACAAACAAAAAAATGTATTTTTAAAAAAACACCTCAAGGACCTTCTGTGTATCTGTTTCTATGCTGGAGGCTTTTCAGGATCACACCTCATATTTGAAGAACATGTCACAGATGAAAATGGATTTTCATATACTTTTCCTTTAAACTCCCCTAGTAGCTCTGCAAGACAGGAGAGATGAACTTTTTCCATCTACAACATACAGAAGAGGAAGCTGAGACTCCGAGAAGTTTCATCCCACTCAAAGTCAGCAAAGGGAGGAGGAAGCAGTACCACAGCCCAACCACAGGGCTCTTTCTACACCCACAAGTTCATCAGCTTTAAATTCTAATGGAAATGATTCTACTGGGCCTGACTGATTGACCCGATATTGCTGGATTCCACATATCCACGTGATGCTGTCCCCTCTGTATGAGGAGTTAAGTGTGGAAAATTGTAATGGATGCCACAAGAAGAAAAAAATGGAAATGGGAAAGAATAAGTCAAAGTTCCAACATTTACTCCCAGACTTCATCATGAAGTAATAAAATTCTCTCTGCCAAGAAAAATCTCTCTCATCCTTTAAGGCTTGGCTTAAGAATTACATTGTCAGTCCTTCCTCCAGCCTCCCCTCTGCATCGAGGGACCACATTCCTCCACCTCTGCTCTTTCATAGCACTTTTCATGCTGTTTTTTTTTCTTTTCTTTTCTCTTTTTTTGCGGGGGAGAATAAATATTAGAACTATACCTACATATTTTTGCTATATATAAAATGACTCTCCCACCTCTTGTTTTCTTACAAATTTTTCTATCCAATCTGTTTAATCCTCAAACTTTATTTTTTTCCCTTGATTGAATGGCTCAATGTGGAGAGACATGTTAAAATACTTCAGTTAAAAAATCTCAATCTCAAATATCTATAGAGACCAGCAAATGAATATAAATGGGTAAAGTAGGCCTGAGCAAAGGAAAAGTCAAGAGGTCCTCACTGTCTCTTATTTTTCTACTTTCTACTTTCCCAAAGAAACTGATGTTTTTCTACTATAAACAGAATGGTGCTTGATGACATTTGACCTCAGTATTTCCATGGGAACAAGGGTGTGATGTGAATTGCAGCAAGCTGGAAAGGCCCCTTTAAAGGGGCTGAATTATTTTGTTCCAAATAACTGTTGTCTTGTGTAAATTTAATGTCAGTATTTACCAACATCCTTTTTACTTTTTCTCTTCTCCTCCCCCCCTTCTTCTTCTCCTCCTCTTCCTTCTTCCTCTTCCTCTTCTTCAAGAGAAGATGGAAATTCATTTAAATTTTTAGGCTTTAGGTTTTGGCTTACATTTAGTTCAAATTCCATGCTGGCTATGTAAAGATGTATGTGGCCCAAATTTGGCCCAGTGTGCCACTTCACAACCTCTGACTTCAATCATGTCAAGACTAATATAAAAATAAGCCTACTTTGAGAATTTTTGAGAAGAGACAACTTGTCCTCCAATATGGAGCTGATCTCAGCAATTCCAGTGCTAAAACTTCCTCTTCTGAATTAAAAAATTCTCTCTATTCAAAATGCAAATATCTCTTAGAAAGTAACACACTAGGTTATCATTAGTGAGTAAACTTAATGTAAATGATAACATTGGATCCTTTTTCTAATTTTAGTATATGTGCTGCCAAAGTGAGCACATTGGATCCTTTTTCTAAAAAAGGTTTTATTTATTTATTTATTTGACAGAGAGAACACACACAGCAAGGGGAGCAGTGGCAGGCAGAGGGAGAAGCAGGCTCACTGATGAGCAGGGAGCCCAATGTGGGGCTCGATCCGAGGACCCTGAGATCATGACCCAAGCACATGCTTAACCAACTGAGCCACCCGCTGAACTGACTGAGCCACCCAGGCACCCCAACACTGGATCCTTTGAAACTGTTGGGTAGGTAAGTTGCGAGGATAGGAAGAAACTGAGTAGAGCATATCAGATTAGAGGAACTAATCTGGGATAAGAAAGAACCAAAAGTTGTGTTGGGTTCTGAAATTAAAGCTTCTACTTCATGACTTGATTTTGAGCAGCCCTTGACTGTGACATCTAATGATACTTCAAGTGGGCAATCATTATTCATTTCCTAAATCTTGAGACAAAAAGATGGAGACTGTCTCACTTTGATGGAATGTTGTTCTCCTTGATTAGTTTCCAGTTCCCAGATGTCAAGATGTTGAGGAAGAGGCAAGGATTACTTGTAGATGAAGTTCACAAATGGAACTTATTTATTTATATTAACTTATTTATTTAACTTTTTTAACTTTTAAAAAGAAGGGAGCTCTAGACTAGACATTGGAAATTGAAAAGGCTAGAAAGTACAATCTTTGTCATTATTTTGCCTGTATTTAGTTTTGTAAGTAGATACTACAGCATTATTTCCTTCTCTGGAAGTCTCCTCCTCTGTTCTCCCACCTACTCTTACCTAGCTGCTTCTCTGGACATCTCAGAGCTTGAATGGATCTCTAGTTGCTTCTACTTGTTAATTTAAGAAATAATCAAGGCAATATTTGCGTCTTTCAGGAGGGTCATCTATAATTTTATCTCAAGTTATTCAAGGATTAACTTCATCATCAGAACATTTTTCTGTTCTGAATTTCTTTTATGGAATCCCTGTCCCCTGGTAAAGAATTTTAGAGACAGACAAGGAGGAACTGACCATTGTCAAAGCACTTTGGGAAAAGGATGATGACTTTAGGGAAAAAAAAATAGACGTTTATATATAGTTTGGATTTCATGATCTGGGTATTTCTCTCAAGCGATTATTTTTTTTTTCAGTATTGACTGAATTTGGTTTCTCCCCTTTGTGTTTTGGGTGTATTTTTCAACCAACATCACTTCATTGCTTTCAGCTGATTGAAAAAAAATGTATTCATTTATTTGACAGAGAGAGAGCACACACACAGGGGGAACAGCAGGCAGAGGGAGAAGCAGGCTTTCCACTGACCAGGGAATCTAATGCAGGGCCCAATCCCAGGACCCTGGGATCATGACCAGAGCTGAAGGCAGAGGCTTAACCAACTGAACCACCCAGGTGCCCCTCAGCTGATTTCTTGATCATCCCATTATATTCCGTTTTCCTCTAATTATTCTTCTTATCTAGATTTAAATGGGAATTCCTATTTACCACACTGGATATTACCATCATTTTGCCAATCTGATAAGTAAGGAATATGTGTTGAGCATTTGCATTTTTATTAACAATGAGACTGATTTTTTGAAAGTGGTTTTTATCTTATTTCTTCTTTGTGAATTGCCTTTTCTTGACTTTTTCCCAATTCTTTGGCAGTGATTTGGTTGTTTATAGAATACGTATCATAGTGAAATAAGGGCTGACACTGGGTGAATAAATTAGGTCTGATTTAAGAGGGCTTAAAAGTCTGACTGACAGTTTGAATTTGGTATATTACACAATAAGACCTTATATCAATTATTTACATTGAGGAAGGGCCAGTCAATTTGAACATCTTTAAACTATAAAATGTAATATGTCTATAGGAAATTGCAAGAAATAGAACATTCTGGTATTCCAGAAATGCCCTCCTCCCTTCCTTGAATACAGTTCTTACCTTCAGCTCTGCAAGCAAGCACTATTCAAACTATCTTTTACGACCTCTGTCGACATTCGGTTCTGTCGGGTTCTGTAAAACCTCATATGATACTATCATTTAAGGTCATCCTTCTTTTGCTCAACGTTTGTGAAATTAGTCTGTGTTGTTGGACATCTCTTGGAGTTTGTTCCTTTTTATCACAGTATAATGTTTCTTTGTATGAATATACCACGATTTATTCATGGATTCAGATGTCGATGGACTTTCAGGTAGTTTCAGTTTGATTCATTATGAAGATCCATTACTCTGTGAATGTACTTTAATAGTGGAATTGTTCTATCAAGCTTTATAATGAATTCCAAAATCTTTTCCAAAATTGATGTGCTAATTTATACTTGACTAGCATAGGGACACCTGGGTGGCTCAGTCAGTTAAGCTTCTGGCTCTCAAACTCAGATCAGGCCTTCATCTCAAGGTCATAAGTTCAAGGCCCATGTCAGGCTCCACACTGGGTGTGTGGACCCTACTTAAAGGAAATAAAATAAAAAATAAAATAAAAAATATACCTGACTAGCGTAAAGTAATATTGTGCTATCCATCCTCACCCAGTTGGGTGTGTAATGAAATTTCACTGTGATTTAAATTTGCATTTTCTAGTTAATAGTGATGTTGAGTGCCTTTTTTTTTAAATGCTTCTTGGTAAGTAGATATTCTCTTCTGTGAATTGCCTAAGCCCTTTGCCCAGTTTCTGTTAGATTACATAGGACAGATTGAACAAATAAGTAATATTAGGGATTGTAGATGCCAAGTTTCTTACTGTTTGAGGAGGGAGTTATAATCACAGAAAGGTAGAAAGCTAGAATGATCCCTGTGGTGTTGATGGAAATAGAACGACTGATGTGAGCTCACGGTTTTCAACATATGTAAATGGATATGTAGATATCAATGTTGGCAGGGAAAGTATGAGATGAGCCTGGAAAATACTATTATGACAGGAAGCAAGCAAAACCTCAGATGTATTGTATCCAAAAGACACAGAAACCAATTTGAATGCCCCCCCACTGTGCAAGGCTGAGACCATTTGAGCATAAAAATAAATAATAATAGCAACGGATTATGACTCGTTGAATAAAATAAAAAAAACCTCTAAGTCCTAAACAAATAAATTTAAAGTTTGGTGGAAAATGGGGTATTTACATAGTTTCAAATTACTTCCCATGAAACATCTATTAAATAGAAACGGGAAAAGCATACTATTACAGTGAAGAATACTGCCTGATGACACATTAATCAAATGATCAACATGCACAGCATCAGTCAATTGGACAAATTACCAATTCAATTGATCTGTGGCATCAACAACAGTGATGGTCCTACCACTAATGCATACTGAATGGGGAAACAGAGACAGTGAAACTGAGGGACATTCTATAAAATAACTGGCCTATACGCTTCAAAAATGTCAAAGTCATAAAAGTTAGAAAAGGTGGAGAAACTGTCCCAGACTGGAGGAGAATAAAGAGACTTGAGAAATGAAGACATCGTGCCATTCTGAACTATGTCTTCAATGAAACTTGAGTGGGATCTGAGGATCTTTTTTCAAGCCTATCAGATAATGTACTGCGATTCAGCCTATGCTTGAAGGGCTAGGAGAGGGCTGAGAGAAGAGTAACTGCCTTGGAGGGCTGGTGGCATCTGGGACAATTCATAACAGCCTAAGCAAGGCATCCGTTGAAGGGTCTGTGGTCACCTCTGTCCGCAGTCGTGGGCTGGTCCGACTCCAATGCACTTCCTTCCTTTCCTACCCTCCTTCTTCCTCCATCTGTGCCTTCTCACTGCATCTGGCCCCCATCAGCCCAGGTCGGTGGGACACGAAGGTCCAGCAGGACTGCAGAGGGCCAGCACAACCTCAGGAGAGGAGGCACTGCCACTGCTCAGACGGACAGGCTCAGCTCGCACACCTTGTGCTGCCCCATCTCATACTTGG